ACCTCAGTGGGACCAGAATACCTTCCTTCCACTAATACCAGAAAGTGATACTAAAATCATTTAGGGAAAAAGTAATATGTACTGTCCTCTGTGTTTTGCAGGTTCACAACTGCAGGGTTGCCAGTATGTGAACAGCCATTTTTCATTATCATGTCCAAAACACATGCTGATATGAATGGGATCTCTTGCTGATGTATGAGGCAAAACTGGTGGTTCACAAATTGGCAACAAAGAGTGATGAACTTGGAAATGGAGGGAATGTAGTGATTTTTGGTAAATTTGGAGAACTCTCTTAAAGCCCTTGGAGTAATTATATTCAATTTATTTGGAGAGGATGTATAAGTTGTTTTACTTGTTTCATGTTTTATGTTGCAAAGGATAAGCTTAGCACAGTGTAAGATAAATAATGAAAGAAAAGTGGAATGTAAGTAACAATTAATATATAGTTTTTAGCTTGTGTAGTATTTATTGTATAGAATTTGTTTTCATTATTTTTTATTTTGTTTTTCTTTTTTTATCCCAGTAAGTAATGGTAGTTAATCAAATTGAAAATTAGCTAGCAGTGACAATGAATGCCAGGTATATTGTTTACCAGAAATGAGCTACTGGGGAGTGATAAGGTTCAGGCTTGGTGGTAGAATTTTTACTTTTGAAAATCCTAAAGTAAGTCAAAGTTTGTGCAGAAAGCTACAAACATGTATATATATATTGTTCTTTACAGATATATTTTTGTAGATATCAGAAAGTAATTCAAATGATAATGCACTGAATTTATTATTATTACATTAATCAGAGAACAGGTATTGCATGTTTATGGAAGCCTTTTCCAAACACTGGTCCTCGAATAACCAAAGGTCCACTAATTTTTCCTTCCGATTTCAGGATATCCCCCAAAGCCTGTGCTGGGACACCGTGACATGTCCCTGAGCAGCGCCGGCATCAGAAATGGCGAGGTTTTGATCGTCGAGGATGTTGAACCGTCGATAAATGCGGTAAAGAGAATTGGCATTTCCTCCCTTGCCCACCGCTGTAGTATCATTATCATTATCATTATCATTATCATTATTGTCATTATCATTATCATTATCATTATCATTATCATTATCATTATCATTATCATTATCATTATTATTATTATTATTATTATTATTATTATTATTATTATTATTATTATTATCATTATCATTATCATTATCATTATCATTATCATTATCATTATCATTATCATTATTATTATTATTATTATTATTATTATTATTATTATTATTATTATTATTAATTTTGTTATTATTATTATTTATTTTGTTATTATTGTTATTAATTGTGTTAATATTATTATTATTATTATTATTATTATTATTATTATCATTATCATTATCATTATCATTATCATTATCATTATCATTATCATTGTCATTGTCATTGTCATTGTCATTGTCATTGTCATTGTCATTGTCATTGTCATTGTCATTATTATTATTATTATTATTATTATTATTATTATTATTATTATTATTATTATTATTATTATTATTATTATTATTATTATTATTATTATTATTATAGTTTTATTATCATTGTAATATTGATAATTGCAGTAAAAATAATATTAGTATTGTTAAAAATAGTGAAGATAATGATAATGGTGATGATAATAATAGTGATGATAGTAATTGTAGTAGTAGTAGTAGTAATATTGGTAGTATTGGTAATAGTATTAGCATTAGTAGTAGTAGTAGTTATTGATAATGCAACCATCCTCCTCATTTCAGACAAGCATACCCTCTGGGGCCCCAGCCAGCGACCCCCGACCTGCCCTCAAGGAGGCGCCGAGTGCCCCCCGCCCCACCGCTCCCCCCACAACAAAAGTGCCTACCAGCCAAAGCCTGACGCAAAAGGGCATCCTCTTGAAGAAGGTCGTCCCGTCGGATAATTCCTGCCTCTTCGCCAGCATTTACTATCTTGTCAACGGTAAGGAAGGGGCATTAGGTCATGGAAGGAAGGGGCATTAGGTCATGGAAGGAAGGGGCATTAGGTCATGGAAGGAAGGGGCATTAGGTCATGGAAGGAAGGGGCATTAGGTCATGGAAGGAAGGGGCATTAGGTCATGGGAGGAAGGGGCATTAGGTCATGGAAGGAAGGGGGTTAGGTCATGGAAGGAAGGGGCATTAGGTCATGGAAGGAAGGGGCATTAGGTCATGGAAGGAAGGGACATTAGGTCATGGAAGGAAGGGACATTAGGTCATGGAAGGAAGGGGCATTAGGTCATGGAAGGAAGGGACATTAGGTCATGGAAGGAAGGGACATTAGGTCATGGAAGGAAGGGGATTAGGTCATGGAAGGAAGGGGCATTAGGTCATGGAAGGAAGGGGCATTAGGTCATGGAAGGAAGGGGCATTAGGTCATGGAAGGAAGGGGGTTAGGTCATGGAAGGAAGGGGGTTAGGTCATGGAAGGAAGGGGCATTAGGTCATGGAAGGAAGGGACATTAGGTCATGGAA